CCCACCCCCAACCCCTCACCATGCATAATTTGTCTCTCGATTTACCACTCCGTGCAAAACATGACGTTTTAGGAAGGGTTGCATTGACCAGATATAAAACATTCACCGTGGCTTTAACCTTCCGGCCAGGCTACACCATCACCGGATAACCCGACCTCTTTAAACGAATCGCCTACGCTAGTTAAAACAAACACCGGCTAATCCGACCCCTTTAAACGGTAGAGGAGAGTTCCACTAGACTTTTATGGCTATTGGTTAATTGGACACGAAGAGATGGACAGCAGGATGGACCAGATTACACATTATACACCTCGGGAATTTCGACCTTATCACTGTGGTGAATTGTTGGATGATATTGTTTTGTCCAACGTGAAGGACCTGTGTGTATTTATTGTTTGTGCCTGCTGGATTGGGCTGTTAGCTCTTGGACCCCGCCTTAATAACCGTCGGTTGTCTAATGTACTGACTCCTGACCTCTCGCTCCTCTGACCTCTAACCCTTTGGATCGCCTCAAAACTTCCTTTAACCGCAAACTAAGACAGCTCTCTAGTCTTTGTCCTCCAGACTTTGATCTCATTAAACATTTCCGTGTCATCTGCCCTTCTCTTCCTTATTTCTATGGTCTTCCTAAGACTCATAAACCTGGTGTTCCTCTTCGTCCTATCATTTCTTCACGGGGCTCTGTCAGCTATCCTCTTGCCTCCTGGCTCGCTAAAACACTGACACCTTACCTTGGCACTTTTTCCCCTGCCCACCTTCGTCACTCTCAGGACTTCATAGAAAGACTGCGCCTGCAACCCTCTTGTAAGATGCTTAGTCTTGATGTCGACTCTCTGTTCACTAATGTTCCGCTCGATGACGTTCTCTCTTTCCTTAGACAGAAGGCGTCAGAGGGCCTCCTTCCTCTCCCACTTCCCACTGACGTTTTCCTCGAACTCATTAGACTCTGTGTTGACTCTAACTCTTTCTCTTTCAACGGTAAATATTACACTCAAACTTTTGGGGTCGCTATGGGTTCCCCTCTCTCCCCTGTTCTTGCTAATTTCTACATGGAATACTTCGAAACTGTTCTTCTTCCTTCTATTGATACTCGTCCCTCTCTCTGGCTTCGCTATGTTGATGACATTTTTGCTTTATGGCCTCATGACCTTAATCTTTTCCAGCCTTTCCTCTCCTCTCTTAACAATCTGGCTCCTTCTATCCATTTCAAAGTTGAGTGGGAATCTAATTCCCTCCTTCCTTTTCTTGATGTTTATGTTCACATCTCTGTGTCTGGGTTCTGTTTCTCTGTCTACCGTAAACCCATGCATAGTGGCATGTACATTCACTTCTTTTCCTACCATCCTCCTTCTGTTAAGAAAAGTGTCCTCGTGTCTCTCTTCCTCCGCGCTCTACGCATCAGCGACCCTCAGTTTCTTAATTCTGAAATTGCCTTTATTTACAAATCATTCTCTCGCCTTGGTTACCCTTTGCATTTCATCAACTGTGCCCACTCTCAAGCTAAACGAAGTTTCTTTCATCCTAAACCTGCTTCCAACACTAGTAGCATTGTACTATGCCTTCCTTTCATATCTGAACTCAAAACTTTTTTCAATACCTTTCGTCCTCTTGACATAAAGCTCGCCTTTCGACAAACTAACACACTTCGTAGTAATCTAGTTCACACTGCTCCTCCTGCTTCTAATGCTGCTGGTGTCTACTCTATTTCCTGTTCGTCTTGTCCTCTCCAATACTTTGGCGAAACTGGTCGTACACTGAATGACAGACTTAAAGAACACAAGAGAAGTGTTAAGTCTGCAGTCACTAACAATGCTCTCTTCTGCTATGTGAGGGATTCTAATCATCCCATTGATTGGTCTTCCTCCAAAATAATCTTTCCTGCCTCTACTCTACACAGACGCCGTCTTGTAGAATCGGCTCTAATACACAATGTACCCAACATGAACTTGAGTCCTGGCTTTGTTGCTGTGGACTCTTCCCTTTCACAGTATATACTCAAATGCTCTAATCTTTCTAACAAACGTGACTTAACATAAGCTTTCCCCCTTCCATTTCTTTCTTTCTCTTTCCCTTTCTTTCTCTCTTCTCCCTTTTTCTGTTCATTGTCTTCTACGCTCCCTTGCTATCCTCTTCTTATTCCTATTACTATCTCCTTCGGTGGTTATAATAGGAGCTGCCTCGTATGGGCCAATAGGCCTTCTGCAGCTCTTATTATTATTACTATCCCCTCTACTACTCCTTACTTTGCTCCTCAACTCTCTCTTGCCTATTTATTGCCTGTCTATACTTCCTCATCACAATCGACTTGAGAATGGTCCAGGACGGACTGAAACGTCGTCGTCCCTTCACCTTCTAGTGTGTGGTCTGGTCAACATACTTTAGCCACGTTATTGTGACTCATCGTCTGCATCCTGACCTATTGTTACTCTATCATGTCTATTGTATATATTTCCTGCAGCTGTGTTTATTATTTGTGCCTCCACGATCAAACTGTTAGCTCTTGGGCTCCGCCTTCTAACTGTCCGGTCGGCTGTTTGAGTGTGAGTGTGTATTCACCTAGTTGTGTTTGCGGGGGTTGAGCTCTGGCTCTTTCGGCCCGTCTCTCGACTGTCAATCAACCAACTGTTACTAACTACTTTGTTTGTCTTCCACACACCCACACGCCCCAGGAAGCAGCCCGTAACAGCTGTCTAACTCCCAGGTACCTATTTACTGCTAGGTAACAGGGACATTAGGGTGAAATAAACTCTGCCCATTTATTTCTGCCGGCCCCGGGAATCGAACCCCGGTCCACATGACTACGTATCAAGCGTGCTGTCCACACAGCCGGCCCTGTGTGTGTGTGTGTGTACTCACCTAGTTGTGTTTGCGGGGGTTGAGCTCTGGCTCTTTGGTCCCGCCTCTCAACCGTCAATCAACAGGAATTGACGGTTGTGTGTGTGTGTGTGTGTACTGTACTCAATCAACTAGGCACTTTGATAAACGGACTGCCAATCAATCCACGAAAGCAAGCAAGCAAGCAATGAAACCAAAAATATGACACTGAAAGAAAGTAGCCGAAAATGTAAAGGCCCCAATCACTCAAATAAGAAAGTCAAACAAGTCAGCAAGTAATCAATCAAGAATGAAGCAAGCAAGTCAGCCAGATGAAGCGGTGTGACGGACGGGTTACCATGGAAACTCTTCATCTCCCAGTGTTTGGGATGCTGGAGAAGCATCCCCCCCATCTTTTACCCCTCCAGTGGCTCTTGAAGCCTTCTCCAGCACGACGAATTAGTTGCATCCGAGCAATCACATCTGCAACGATGATTCCCGCCCGGAAATCGAGAGAATAGAGCAGTTATACCTCCATAATGCTGCTGCTACTAACCCGTTCTCTATATCTACCACTGTAAACAAACACAGCTGTTTTGTCTAACGGGAAACATACGAACTCAAGCCACCTAATTAACACCCCTTTTCCCCCACACCCACTAACACCCACTAATACCCCCACACACCCACCCACACCCACTAACACCCACTAATACCCCCACACACCCACCCACACCCACTAGCCAGGCGGGCGGCTCACTACGCCACTCTACACAAGACTATTATTGAATAAAAACCCCCACACACCTCCATTAGTCGCTGGTGGCGGTAGGGGCGGCGCCCCTCGATATTTAAACGGTTATCCGGATACGTCGGATACTCGGAATATGCGCTCTTATCCGGCCGTTATACATGTATTAGCGTAGTGAGAGGTCTCTTGGGGAAGACGGAAGAGAGACAGAAAGAAGAGCAGAGACAGGAAGAAAATACAGCGAATACAAAATACAGACGAAGCCGCAGACACGGTACAGGTGGACCTAAACAGTCTTTCTTAACAAATCCCGTCTTGGAAGACTTGAAACCTCACGTCGCTGGAAGACAGAAGAGTTAGGGGGGGGGGACATGACCACCACATACAAGATTCTCAAAGGAATTGATAGGGTAGATAAAATTTAGTCTGTACTTTCTCACGCTTCTCAAGAGAAAGAACTTGGTAAATACCTCCGAATGATAGTTGACCAACCGGGTTGTGGTTCAGAGGTCAGACTGCGAGCACCGGCGTCTACAACCTGCTTGACAAGTCGACCAACTGGAAGGCCAGCTCGGAGACCAGGCCGCGGGGGCCATTGATCCCCGGAAGGTAACCATGCATAGAGTAGGTAGCTCCCTTAAGGTAACCCCCGGAAGTATGGCGACCGCTGCCCTTGTTAACTGTAACCTATACTCCTTCTTAAACATCCTCCACTCTTTTTTTCCCTCTTTTTCTCTTCTTCCCTTCTTCTCTCCCTCATTCTCTCCCTCTTTCTCTCCCTCCTCCTTCTCTCCTCCTCCCTCTACACTTGAACGCTTCAGCTCCATCACGTCTCGCCCAGAATTCCCATTTAAAGCTTTTATTCCCAGTATTGTTCATGGCTCCACCAGCGCCTCCCCTCCCTTAATTTAGAGTCTGTCTGTCTGTGTTTCTTGCACACACAGACACACACACACACACACACACACACACACACACACACACACACACACACACACACACACACACACACACACACACACACACACACACACACAGGAGTCCGATAGGCGATAGGCGATGACAGAGCCCGATAGGCTCAGGAATCTGTACACCTGTTGATTGACGGTTGAGAGGCGGGACCAAAGAGCCAGAGCTCAACCCCCGCAAACACAACTAGGTGAGTACAACTAGGTGAGTACACACACACATACACACACACACACACACACACACATCACCACCACCAGACCTGTCCCAGAGGTGAAAGGTTAAAGTTACGAGGAAAGATCAGACGAACGCATCGTTAAGCCCTAAGGAAAGAGACGACACATGGAGGTTATATCCACGACATATAAAATACTCACCCAATCCACTATTAACATCCCCCTCCCCACATAACCCTATCCAGTCTCCTACCTATCCCCCATAACTCCAGTCCTCACTTTAACCCTATATGCCCCCCATATCAGCAGGAACCAAGGAGCCAGAGTTCGACCCCCGCAAGCACAATCAGGTAAGTCAGGGGTGATGACCCTAACCCCCCCCCCCCCGGCTGGAGAGTAATCAGCACCCACCTATCCCTTGACGTTAACAGCCTCGTACACTATCCCTTAAAGGGGGAGGGGAGAGGAGCAGTAGGAAGAGGAGGAGGGATAGGAGAAGCAAAGTGGTGGATAGAGTGACTATTGAAGTGATATTTTGCTGATTCTCGCTATTCTCATTTCCATTTTGTCTCTGTCTGTCTGTCTGTCTGTCTGTCTGTCTGTCTGTCTGTCTGTCTGTCTGTCTGTCTGTCTGTCTGTCTGTGGGTTATGGAGTTTAATTGGTTAGATGTTGCCTGTCTCTCTCTCTCACTCCTGGTCTGTCTGTCTGTCTGTCTGTCTGTCTGTCTGTCTGTCTGTCTGTCTGTCTGTCTGTCTGTCTGTCTGTCTGTTTGTGGGTTATGGAGTTTAATTGGCTAGATGTTGCCTGTCTCTCTCTCTCACTCCTGGTCTGTCTGTCTGTCTGTCTGTCTGTCTGTCTGTCTGTCTGTCTGTCTGTCTGTCTGTCTGTCTGTCTGTCTGTTTGTGGGTTATGGAGTTTAATTGGCTAGATGTTGCCTGTCTCTCTCTCTCACTCCTGGTCTGTCTGTCTGCCTCAGGGCTCGTGTATCTGTCCATTGATGTGCCTCTTTGTTTCCTGTTAATTTACTCTATGGCTCAATTCATCCGTCTTTTATAAACAAGAATCAAGATGTGATCTCAATAGGTGTTATGAAGACCACTGTCTGCCTGTCAGTTTCCCCTTACTGTCTGATGATGTTTCTGCCTTGTCTGTCTCCGAGAGCATTCCAGCGTCTGGGATGCTCTCGAACGCAGGTTCGAATCCTCGTCACGGCCCTTGTGGCTTTGTTCAACTGTCTCCAGGTTCTCACAGACAGGAGTGAGCGTGGTGTCACGGGGGTGTCTACTGTCATATGGTGTCATGTAGTGTCAGCAGGAATTATTAGCCATGACAGTGACCCTGGAGATATTTTATATGTCTGGATCATGACCCCTATGATCTGCGTGCCTGTGGAAGCACCTAGTTGTGCTTCCGGAGGGTTGAGCTTTGGTTCTTTGGTCCCGCCTCTCAACCGTCAATCTCAGGGGGAGGGTCTAAGAGCTAGAGCTCGACCCTACAGGCACACATAGGCGAGTACAAATAGTTGAGTACACAGAAATATAAAAATTAAAACCCGGATGCAGATTTTATTCTGAATTTTAATTTCGCGGAGCCCATACACCAACGAACATTATGAACTGTAAAAATTTAAGGAACACCCGAGAAAGCAGCCACATGGAACGGGTCCGCGGCGATATTAACATTTTTAGCTTTGTGCTATAAAAGTTATTTATGTCATCACATGTGAGAAAGAGGGAGATGGGAAGGGAGGAGAGGAGGAGCGAAGGAGAGAGGTGAGAAGAAGAAGAGATAACTTCATTGGTTATATAGAAGTGGTTGTTCACTAGTGAGTCCCGCTCCTGTGCCAGGTAAGTCCACTACGGGATCACCATAGCCCGTGCTACTTGCTCCGCTCCTGTGCCTCCAGGCAAGTCCACTACGGGCTCACCATAGCCTGTGCTACTTGCCCCGCTCCTGTGCCAGGTAAGTCCACTACGTGCTCACCATAGCCCGTGCTACTTGCCCCGCTCCTGTGCCAGGTAAGTCCACTACGGGCTCACCATAGCCCGTGCTACTTGCCCCGCTCCTGTGCCAGGTAAGTCCACTACGGGCTCACCATAGCCCGCGCTACTTGCCCCGCTCCTGTGCCAGGTAAGTCCACTACGGGCTCACCATAGCCCGTGCTACTTGCCCCGCTCCTGTGCCAGGTAAGTCCACTACGGGCTCACCATAGCCCGTGCTACTTGCCCCGCTCCTGTGCCAGGTAAGTCCACTACGGGCTCACCATAGCTCGTGCTACTTGCCCCGCTCCTGTACCAGGTAAGTCCACTACGGGCTCACCATAGCCCGTGCTACTTGCAAGTTTTGGTCCCAGTTGTTAAATTTAAAACAATAACTTGTGAGACAGGAGGTATATGAGGGGCAGGATGTCTCTCCTACCTGCCCTCAGGTGCGTGGGACATACATTGTTGTTGATTTAGCTACTTAGAACGAAATGTCCATGTAGCACGGGCTATGGTGATCCCGTAAAATGCGTCTATCCAGACATAATGTGTCCAGAGAGGTTCTCAAGCAGCTACACCAGGCTTAGTATCTTTGTTCAGTGATCAAAGCAGAGAGGTTAAGATCGTAAGGTGATTAGCTACCGCTGTTCCTATGTTCTCTACCTTTCTCTCACTTTCTCTCACTTTCTCTCACTTTCTCTCACCAACGGGAGAATATCTCCACAAGAGGCCAGCAAACACTCAGACGTTGATTAATGTTCGCCTAAAGACCAATTTTAAAATATAATTAATCACACAAATTTCACATCGTGTTGTTTTAACGAGAAAGGTTGTTCCTGTCTCGTTAGCCAGTCTCGTTGCTGCAACTGCCTCGTTAATTAGTCCTCGTTAACCACTAACACGAGACAGGAGAGGGGAGGGGGTGTGAGGGATGTACATTACGCCAATTTATATAGTGGTTGATGCCGCATTAATTATTCCCTGCTTATATATATATATATATATATATATATATATATATATATATATATATATATATATATATATATATATATATATATATATATATATATATATATATGATACGTTACCTGTGATGGTGGATTAAATGATCACGTGTCAGTATTATTGATATGTTTCACCGACTAAAACAGACTTACATATTTCTCCAAATAAACTCGATGTGGTCGACTCCTCTTCGTCATGTCCACTACGGGCTCGCCATAGCCCGTGCTACTTGCCCCGCTCCTGTGCCAGGTAAGTCCACTACGGGCTCACCATAGCCCGTGCTACTTGCCCCGCTCCTGTGCCAGGTAAGTCCACTACGGGTTCACCATAGCCCGTGCTACTTGCCCCGCTCCTGTGCCAGGTAAGTCCACTACGGGATCACCATAGCCCGTGCTACTTGCCCCGCTCCTGTGCCAGGTAAGTCCACTACGGGCTCACCATAGCCCGTGCTACTTGCCCCGCTCCTGTGCCAGGTAAGTCCACTACGGGATCACCATAGCCCGTGCTACTTGCCCCGCTCCTGTGCCAGGTAAGTCCACTACGGGCTCGCCATAGCCCGTGCTACTTGCCCCGCTCCTGTGCCAGGTAAGTCCACTACGGGCTCACCATAGCCCGTGCTACTTGCCCCGCTCCTGTGCCAGGTAAGTCCACTACGGGCTCGCCATAGCCCGTGCTACTTGCCCCGCTCCTGTGCCAGGTAAGTCCACTACGGGTTCACCATAGCCCGTGCTACTTGCCCCGCTCCTGTGCCAGGTAAGTCCACTACGGGCTCACCATAGCCCGTGCTACTTGCCCCGCTCCTGTGCCAGGTAAGTCCACTACGGGTTCACCATAGCCCGTGCTACTTGCCCCGCTCCTGTGCCAGGTAAGTCCACTACGGGCTCACCATAGCCCGTGCTACTTGCCCCGCTCCTGTGCCAGGTAAGTCCACTACGGGCTCGCCATAGCCCGTGCTACTTGCCCCGCTCCTGTGCCAGGTAAGTCCACTACGGGCTCACCATAGCCCGTGCTACTGGCCCCGCTCCTGTGCCAGGTAAGTCCACTACGGGCTCGCCATAGCCCGTGCTACTTGCCCCGCTCCTGTGCCAGGTAAGTCCACTACGGGCTCGCCATAGCCCGTGCTACTTGCCCCGCTCCTGTGCCAGGTAAGTCCACTACGGGCTCACCATAGCCCGTGCTACTTGCCCCGCTCCTGTGCCAGGTAAGTCCACTACGGGCTCGCCATAGCCCGTGCTACTTGCCCCGCTCCTGTGCCAGGTAAGTCCACTACGGGCTCACCATAGCCCGTGCTACTTGCCCCGCTCCTGTGCCAGGTAAGTCCACCACGGGCTCACCATAGCCCGTGCTACTTGCCCCGCTCCTGTGCCAGGTAAGTCCACTACGGGCTCACCATAGCCCGTGCTGCTCCTTTTGTTCCAGGTAGCGAATGTTAAACAACAACAACAACATCCTCTTCGTCTCCGGCTTTATCCATTAATCTCTTTTGTTACTTAAGTTCTTTTACTTTCTCTTCATTAACGTTGCTTTCGAATCACCATTACAGTCTACCACTGATTCTACTACTGCTACCACCACTACATCTACTTCTACTACTTGTACATCTACTAGTAAAACCCAAAATTTCGGTTTCAACCCTTTTAACCCTGTCGTAGCTCAGTCGATTAAGGCAGTGTCTGGGATGCTCCCGGACGCAGGTTCGAATCCTCGTCACGGCCCTTGTGGATTTGTTTACAAAATGAGTAGATCACTAATTTACAGACTGGCAGCTGTGGGAACCACGGCAGGTGGCACGGGGCTGGCCCTGGCCAGAGTGCCAGGCACCCGGGCGTGACGACTCTTGACACCACTTGACTGCTCTTCTGTAAACTTGCCTGGGGAACTTAGAGTGCCAAGAGCTGGTGGGGCGAGTTGACCAGGCTAAGTGGGGCGACTTGACCAGGTTAGCGCATTGCTTCCATCAAAATAGAATATATCGTACCTATCTCATACTACTAATGACACAACTACTGCAATTAAGAGCATAAGAATAAAGGTAAATGCAGAAGACCTATTGGCCCACACGAGGTAACTCCTATTTTCTAACAATTACTTCCAACAATATTATAATAGGAAGCCGATGAACCAATCTACCAACAATTAACTATAAGTCACCATAAGTCACAACGCCCAGAACTTCCAAACCCTCTTAAGAACGATCTCAAATAGCCATAATTATATATAATTATTAATTAAATTGGTCCAATACAAACATTTAATTGATGTTAATCAACCAAAAATTAAGCCACATAGAACGATAACAACTGACATGAACGATATAAAAAGACAAAGAAAAGCCTAACTAACCCATTTTACAAGATTA